TCTTAAAGCCCTAGATACGTAAGCCTATATCGAGATGAAAATAGGGTAGGTAGGGCTAGTGGTGGAGCTCTTAAGGCAGATGGGGGTGCCTGCAGCCCCCTTGGATGGGAAAAAAAATTCAGGAATATGAGTCATTACTCATTACTCATTAGAGTTTTGAACCACTCACCTATCAGACTAGTGCCACTTGCTTCACCATTCAGCCGGGCAGGTTCTTTGTTTTAATGTTGATGTAATTAATTTCTGTAAAATTAAAGATACAACTAAAGATGTTTGTAGTTCCAACATACCCTATCATTTTATTTAAGGTTATAGGTATAATATGCCCCTCTACTATGACGTTTTATCAAACATGCCCCTCTACTTTTTTTTACATTAAACATGCCCCTGTACATTGGAAAACTTATCAAATATGCCCTTTTGTTAAAATTTACATCCAAAAACCGTTAACCAAGACCGAAATTTGATTTGGGCGACCCAAATATCTAAAATATCCCTAATAATTTCACTTTATAGTTTTTTTTGTTCTTTTGTATAGCCAAATAATTCTAGTAATTTCACTTTGACGAAACCTAGAGAAATAAAACAAGGGTCAAAACTGACATTTCCCCTCCCATTTATCGATGTCAGGTTGTCTAAATCTCGATTCAACCATGATTGACGATTTTTTCAATGGAAATTTCAACTGAAGGGCATGTTTGATAGTTTTTCCAAATTACAGGGGCATGTTTGATGTAAAATAATAGTAGAGGGGCATGTTTGATAAAACTTCATAGTAGAGGGGCATATTATACCTATAACCCTTTTATTTACGGTCTGCACACACACTCAACAACATAGATACATTATTATTTGTCATATAATAAAATTGGTTTTGGTATAAACTAGATGGAGATATACTCTTCGAGAATAGAAAAATACTTCTCCGGTAGAATTCATATATTTGTGATTTACTATTCGATGATAGGTTCAAAAACTTACAAGGAGTTGATGAGTTAGCAAAAAATATTACAGAAACAAATAAGCATAATCTGTCTATTTGTTCTCAAGTTGACACTTATTCTGCTTTTTACAATCAGTCTAGAGAAATTATTTTTCATCAATGAAATATATAAAAAACGATCTTTGGAACCGGATGAACAATACGTTGGTGACTTATATTGAACAAGATCTATGTGATATTTAGATAATGAATGCGTTCTAAAATAATTTTAAAATATGAAATCTCGTTGTGATTCATTATAAGAGGTATGCATCAAACTATTATTCTGTAATTGTAGGAAATTAGGAATCTTCAATATTATATTATTGACATTTTATTTTGTTAAGAGTTTATTTTTCTATTATATAGTTATTTTTTTTATTGTTGAAGAAAGACACCCCCTTGCCCGATTTTCTGGCTCCGCCACTGGGTAGTGTGTACTCGGAGGCGTGTGGATAATCACGAAGGCCCATGAAAAAGAGCTCACTCACTATATTGTCTTAACCCTACATGACAACCATAGCTAGGAGGATTTGATCCTAGGCAGCCATTTCATCTCTAGCGATCTCTCAACCACTTTGTTGGTTGTTTAGGAGTAGGTTAGGTTATATTATTCACCAAACTTTTGATTCAATTATATAGTAGTTTAGAGAGAAGTAATAGTAAGCTTAGGGTTCCCTTGGAATACAACCAACCCCTTTACTACAATTCTAGCTAGGTTATGCTTGATTTATTTAGGATTTAATAGAGAGTGTGTATCGTTTATCGACTTATAAATTTAAAACTTGATCAAGCGATCAGTTCACTAGGTCAAATTATACTTCATGGAAGAAACATATGAAAACGTTTTTGTGGGGAATCAACGAAGAACTATGAGGAGTTATTAGATACAGACCAGTAGAGATGAATGTACAACAACTTAATTATCAAGCAATGCATATTCTTCAAACAAAGATGTCCTTTAATGAAGTCGACAGAGTCGAGCAATGTGAAACTCCACAGAGATCTCGATAACCTTGAAAAATATCTATGAAGGTACTTCAAACATCAATGAAACTCGAATCAATCTTCTTATCTTCTTATGCAAGAAGACAAGGGCTCTGACATACAACCTGGGGAGGGTATTCACAAATGCATTTTAGATTTATTATTTTCAAGAATCTTGGATAAACATTTTCTTGTAAGCAATGCAGTCAAAAGCGAGTTTATACGTAGAAACGTTTCGGTGATCTAGAAGCGCAAAATCATAAGTTTTCAAGTTTTAAATCGGAGTTTTTAACTACGTAAGTTATAAAAACTGAGATTTTATGTAGAAGCGTTTTAGTGATTTAGAAACGTAAAATTTTAAGTTCTTAAGTTTTAAAGCGCGATTTTGACTACATTACTCGTAAGTATCTTGTTAGCAAATTTTTGCAATATCTCCGTAAGAAGTGGTTGCCTAAACGAACAGTTATAAAAGAGGGCAGGGAACTCAAGGTTCTTTCTATTAATGATTTAATTGCGTCTTTGTTGAGTCATGAATATATTATTAGGCAAGTTGGTAAAGATGATGAAAAATGAACAAAAACTCTTGCTTTAAATCTCGTGCTTATGAATAAGACTCTGATAACGATGTTGGCCGAGAATTTTAAAAGAAATTCGCTATGGTTTGTAAGAAATTTCACCGAATGATGAAATATAAGAATGATTAAATGTGTCTTTCTCAAGAAAATTGTGGTCGTTTTCAAGATTCAAATTTCATTTTTCATGATTCAAATGGCCATTATAGTGAACCTAATATTTGTTATGTTGAGTCTAGTAACCTTAGTACCATGTATAATAGTCACGTAAATTTTCCTTTAGAAAGACCGTCTTTGAAGTCTAAAGATATACACCCTATGTTTGACCCGGCTTTTAGAAGTGTTTTTAGGGTTCAAAAGCTGAAGCAGGGCCAAACACCTATAAAAGCTCGGTTTTTAAAAAGCCGAAAAACGCTTTTGTATAACATAAAAGCAAATCTCCGATTTGGAACTTCTACGAAAAGCTGTTTTGAAAACACAAGATTATCCTTACCATATTTTAATTTTATTTCAGAAAAAATAATTTTCCTTCATTTATATCATTTTAAAAATAAAATAAATTATAAAATTATATTATTTAATATAAAAGAAATCTAACAAGATCCATTTGGACTACTTTTTATTGTTTAGAATTTTTATTCATATTTTATATTATAAGTCCTTTAAAGTCATTTTACACAATCTCTTATATTAAAAAGCACTTCTAATTGTTTTACAGCCAAACACTCAACTACCTTTTTTTAAAAGTACTTATCTAAAAGCTCCAGCCAGAAGCAATTTCTGCAAAAGGTACAACAGTGCCAAACTAAGCTATATACATAACATCTGAAAGAGAACCCCGTAGTGTGGGAAAAGTGGAAAACATTGAGACCTCAGAGCAAATTGCCCTCAGATTTTGAAAGCAAAAGAGAGAATAGCAACATGGTGGAGTTATTATGACTAATTTTTTTTTACCTAACTGCTAATATACACATATCACGAAGCTTAATGCACAACTAAAAAAAATTTACTTGCTTATTCAATTACAATTATATAATAGTATTTGTATGAAAAAGGATTGAATGATTGATATAGTGATAATACTACTAGTTTTAAATTTGAAGGTTCCAGGTTCCAATTTTTTAAATAATACCTAATTAAAAAAAATTATATAACCATCATTAAATAAAGGGGTTATATGTATAATATGCTTCTCTACTATATCATCTTATCAAACAAGCTCCTCTGCTAATTTTTTAAACTGAACATGCCCTTGTACTTTGGAAAAATGATCAAACATGCTCTTCTTTTGAACTTTCCAATCGAAATTTTGACGACCCGACATCGGCAAATGGGAGGGAAAATGTCACTTTTGTTTCCTGTTTTATTTCTTTGGGTCTCGTCGAAGTGAAATTATTAGAATTATTTGGCTATACAAAAGAACCAAAAAAATTCTAAAGTGAAATTATTAGGGATATTTTAGACATTTGTGTTGCCCAAACCGAAGTCCAGCCGTGGTTAACGATTTTTGAATGAAAATTTTAACAAAATGGCATGTCTTGATCATTTTACCAAAGTATAGGGGCATGTTTGATGTAAAAAATAATAAATGAGCAATGTTTGATAAAACGACATAGTAGAGAAACATATTATACATATAACCCTAAAAATATTAGGGGTAATATATTTGTATGGCCTGAACTTTGCACATAATAAACATCCTAGCCAATCTTTTCGATCTATAATATCATGACCTAAACTATACATCAAAGTTAAGAACTTGGCCAAACTCGATGTTTGACCGTTATCTTTGACGGTCAAATGCGTTGACTAACTGTCAACGCGCCACGTCATAGCCAAGTCAGAACTTTTTACTTAAAAAATTTAATATTTTCCACCTATAAAAATGTATGTTTTATTTAAAAATACAATACTTTAAATAAAAATTTAAAACAACTGGGTGTTAAGTGGAAAATTAACTAGAAATTATTGAAAATAAATGGTGAAATTTTATTCAACTTTTTTCATTTTTTATTCTTTTTCATATTTGTGGAAAATTTGAAGATAAATATTATGTGGAAAATTAATTTGGACTTAGTGAAATAAATTATGGGAAATTATTTATTTATTTAAATTTCAGTGTAGATTTATTTTTAAATTTATTTCTTTGAATTCTATGTTCAGATTTTTTAAAATTTTGAAAATAGATATTATTTTGAAAATTAATTTGAAAATGGGTATTATGCATGGTAAAGGAAACCGTACCGGACATCATACCGGATTCCTTTCTGGTATGGTATTTTGTGGTACGACCGTGGTTGAACCGTTTTGTACCGGTAAATACCGTTTTTGTAATAATAAAATATATTTTTTGTCAAAAAACCGTGTCGGCAAAATCAGAGTACCGTTCCGGAGTAAAACCGGAATAATATCGAATATACCGGATATAAAATAATAAAGTATCAACATAAAAGTTATAGGTATATAATGAAACAACTTCATATTGCAGGGACTAAACATATAATATAATTTCAGGTATCATGAAATAATTTTCCAACTAGAAAAGGAAAACCCTTCGTGTACTCTATTCCAATTTCCAATTTCCAGTAGTACTTTCTCTCCACTCTCTCTCCATTTTACGAATTCCAATCTGCTTCTCTCTTCAAACAAAACCTCCATTACGATTTACGAACAAGGAACTAGGAAGGCAGAGAGGGAGGGCAGAGGAGCGTGCTCGCCAGAGAAGAAAACATAAAAGAAGAAACGCCCTCCGTTGTTTTCATAAATCAGTTTTCTTAGCAGCCATATAGATCAAAATCGGAAGGGAAAAACAAGTCTGTGGATTTGAAGAGAGAGCGAATAGTAATACCTCGGGGAAAAAGAAGTGTATGTATGTATCAACCTAGCTTGTCACAGTGGAATCTACAATCCACGGCGCACTCTTTCACTTTCGCCTAACGATAGATTCCCTTCAGAGATCTATCAAGGGACCGGAATCCAGATCAGGGAATTGCAATATCAGGCGCGAATGAATGATAACTAACTCAATACCGATAGAGGGAAAGACTAAGCAGCTCTGCTGAATCAAACCTAGAGAAATGAGGGCGATTATGATGCGTGGATGCAGAAAGAAGAGGGTTACTTCTTCTTTCTCCTCGAACGCCGGTGCCGGAGACGATCCCCGGTCGTCGAGCAGAGGAGGGAGGACCGCCGGTCGTCGAGCAGAGGAGGGAGGGTCGTCGTCGTCGAGCAGGATGGAGGGTCGAGTAGAAGAGATTTCGCGTGGGCTGTGGGCAGCGGCAGCAAACGAAGCGATGATTTAGGGTTTTTCTTTTAGGCTTCGGCCGATTTTTTTTTTCCTAATGTAAAACGGCGCTGTGTCCTCCTTAACAGCTCACCCCCGGTTAGACCAAAACCGGGCGGTTTTTTGGGTTGAACCGGTTTTACCAGTAAAACCGACCGAAACGTTTCTTTCGCTACAAACCGTGTATCGTATCGGCCAGGCGCCGATTTCCGGTTTTACCGGTTCAACCGGCCGGTACGATCCGGTTTCCTTTACCATGGTATTATGTTGAAGATTAATTTGAATTAGTGAAATTAAATGGTGGAATTTAAAAAAACATCATTTGAATAATTATGGGAGATATAAGGGGACCCGAAATTACTTTTTCCTTCATTTATTTTATTTATTTTTTTGGTTAAAAAATAATCAGAAAAATGTAATAGTTGGAAAATATAAAAAAAATTAAATGAAAGGTGCTGACTTGGTAAAGACGTGACGCGTTGACTGTTAGTCAATGCGTTTGACCGTCAAAGATAACGATCAAACATCGAGTTTGGCCAATTTCGTAACTTTGATGTATAGTTTGGGACATAATGCCTATGTTTGGCTCGATTTTTAGAAGTGTTTTTCGACTTTAAAAGCTGAAGCAGAGCCAAACACTTCTAAAAGTTCGGCTTTTGAAAAGCTGAAAAACGATTTTGTATAACATAAAAGTAGAAGCTTCGATTTGGAGCTTCTGTGAAAAGTTGTTTTGAAGATACAAGATTAACTTACCATATTTTAATTTTATTTCAGAAAATATAATTTTATTTCATTTATACCATTTAAAATATAAAATAAAGTATAAAATCATATTATTTAATATAAAAGAAGTCTAACAAGATCCATTTTAAATACCTTTTATTGTTTAGAATTATTATTCATATTTTATATTATAAGTCCTTTATAGTCATTTTACACAACATTTCATATTAAAAAGCACTTTTATTACATTTTCAACCAAACACTCAATTGTTTTTTTTAAAGTACTTCTCTAAAAGCTCAAGCCAAAAGCTGCTTCTGCAAAAGCTATAGCAGGCCAAACTGACCCAATGTTATAGATCGAAAAGATTGACCAAGATGTTTATTATGTGCAAAGTTCAGACCATAACAATATATTAACCAAAAAATTATATAATAATACTAGTCATGGGCCCCGCCGGTTGGCCGGATTCATTTGTCAATCACGTAAATAGCCATAGCCAATTGTATGTGAGATTAGCGTTTCTTTGGTACTATGTTAAAAATAAAGTTGTATGAAATTATATAACATTCTTATTTCTTGGTAGTATAAAAGAATTCAAATTATTATAATACTTCAACTATTCAAAAGATGACATCATATTGTTTTTCGACATTCTAACCGAATTATCGAGTATAATTGTTTACGAAAAATGAAAGAAAACCATTCAAAAGATGACATCATGTTGTTATAGAATATAATTGTTTTACGAAAAATGAAAGACAAATCCTATGCCAGGAAAAGTTATGTGAAAAAATCCTTCTATTTACTCATCATCAGATATTACTATACGCTTTCTTTTTTGCTTGTTTGCATTTTCTATGCCATGAGCAACATCATCATATCCGCCAGTAGTAAAGGTCTTCATCTCCATTAGTGACATATTGATCTTCAATATCACCCGACGCTTGCTCCTTCTCTTACATTTGAATAATTTCTTCATTTTTTTCCTGCATTTTATTGCGCACAAAATTTTGAGGTTAACAAATATTTTCAAATACAAATATTGTTTTCATGGTTTTAGAATTTACCTTGTCCATGTTGTGAAAAATATCTACGGTGTGTTCATCCTTGAATTATAATTGATTTAGCTCATTCACTGTTTTCTGTTTTGATTGAATTTTGCTGTTGAGGTGCTTTCGTGCTTTTCACTGTTGGATTTGGTGCTTCCCCGTCACGGTTTCATTCAAATAGAATGATAATTAATCTGTTTTTATTTTGTCCAACTTCATTAATTTTGGATACAATGTATTGAACTCGTTCAATAATCTTTGGCATTGTAATTTAACTCCTCTACGGTCATCCGATTTCCAGAATTTGATCTCATAGCTCCATATGGAATAGGCAACCCTATGAAATCAACCACAGACTTCCAAGATTTCTGCAATAATTTATCAATCTTCGCCAAACATATATCTTTGATATCACCAGTAAAAAGCTGTAAATTTGGAAAAATTAGCTCCTATATACGATTGAACAGGATATTATCGCTCAATAATTCCCAATTCTTTTTTCCACAAAGATTGCACATAAGAAACTTAGCAGCGAATAAGAATTGTAACTAACAAATTCCTTACTTTATATAAAAAAACCCCATAAGGCAACTTCCTTCAGACAGGCACTCCACTCATCATCATCATATGCTAATAACCGAAGAGCATACCATGTTTTTTTGGAAGGAATCATAGACAACACCATTAATTATTCTAGTTTCTTCATAAGAACGACAACCTCTGACTAAATGCAACAGCATGCGAAGATAAAATCGTTCTTTGCTATATGGATAACAATTATATAATCTTCCAATACAAACCTTGTTCTTACTTCTTCCTCATATACCACCTTTTCAACTTACGATTTCAAACAAAATATTGAGAAAACTCCACAAAGCATGCTAATAGCATTAATGTTTAATTTTTTCCCCAATTTTTTCGTTCTCTTTTGTCTCTACTTTATTCTCTCGAGGCAGATGACTTGACATACGTAACACAGAAGGTGAATTACAACTAACATCAAACTTAAATGTCTCTAGCATGCCTTGCCTGATGTGATGTACCGAGAGTCTATAAATGCTTTAATCTCAACAATACAAACACACGATACTAAAGATTTTTCGTGATTTTGGTGTTCTCCATCATCACTTGGTTTAGATGCTAAAGTCGTCATTGCTCTATCTATATTTGAACAAATACTTGATAGCTCTAAAACAAAAAGTAAATTGATTACACTACTTCGAACATTCAAATAAAGTTATAATAAACTAACAAAATTTTATTGAAATAATAAAGTAATAAAAATTACAAATTATTCCAAATTTCCTTTTAGTTTCGTTGATTTCAGGTATCCCGTTGTCCCATTGATATTTTTTTATGGGAGTCCCATTGGTATTTGATAATGATCATTATTGAACATTCACGTGTCCATTTTTTTTAACTGTTTTTGTTTCACTCCAAATTTCATCTTTTCATGTTTACGTGAATTAACATTAATGTAAAGGTAATTGTAGTTATTTAATATGTTTATGTTTTATGTTATATAATAAGAAGTTTCATATAAAATTTATTTAAAGAGAGATTTAAATTTTAAATAATATAAAATTATAATACAATTCTTTCAAAAATGGGAAAAAATATTTTTTTTGGATATGTCCAAAAAGCTCATTCTCTATTTTTACCGTACGAAATCTAGTTGATAATTTATTATTATTATTATTATTATTATGAATAGTATTTAATTTGAAAAGGCAAAAGATTCCTTCCATAATCATTCAATTTAATCTGATGGGAGAGCACAATGATTTACATAGCATATAAGATTATTTTCATGAGGATATTAAAATTCATGAGAGGAACAACTAACATTGACTTGTTGCAAAATTCGACATTGATATGTACCTAAAATTGCAACAATAGATATCTATTATAGGGAACGACAAATTGACTATCTAGTGAGACTCTATTCGCCATATACGATATGTTGTTCTCTCGACACTGATACATTGCAAAACCATTGCCATCAATAGTTGTTTGGTGATTCCTTTGGAAAAAGTTTAGAGCATACACCAATAGTTGTACATGGAGGTTTAGGTCCTTGATTGCCACATGGATCATGAAACATAAATTTTATAACTGCTTCACAACATTTAAGATCTGCTTTAGGATATGGGATTTCAGCAAATGTAACTTAATATATTTATGAAGGACTATTTTATTTATCTTCTGTAGCAAGGAAAACTAAACAATGAGCATGAAGCATACCAAAATTTTGAAATTCAATTGCATTACATCTGCAATGAAAAAATTGTCATAATAATTAAAATTGTAAAATGATACTTAGCGAACAAATAAAGAACTATAGATGCTTAAAGTAAAACTACTGAATATAACTTACATGCACATGTTTTCCCGAAAATTGTATTCTCCAAAATCTCTTTCAGCAATTGATGTAGCTTCAGTTTGAAAACTCGTGTGAGGACCTAGCTCTATTAGGATCTTTCCTAGTGGTAGTCCTTATCAAATGAAGCATGTATTGAATCTCAGGTCAGACATGATTACATGTAAATGTAATGAAAAGATCTGGATATCATGCCCATTTACAAATCACCATATGATCTTGGAAGCTTTCATACTTATAGCGATGATTACCTATATGTGATGAAGCTAAAATGACCTATTTTCTACTCAAACTGGTGTCTAAATCACCTCTAAAGTAAGAATCCAAAAAACCTAGGCAATAATGTTGTCACAACTTTGTTTGGTTGTTTTTAATTCAATCCAAACGCTCAGCCTCAACCAATGCATATGCATTAACAATATATTGTTGGAACAACTTTCCACAAAATAGCAATGCGTTAGATTCTTCCAGTTTAGTTTGGAGTCTATAGTTGTAAAAATCATATTAGGTCACATTCTTCTTATTGTATCCATCCTCATCCTCATCCTCACCCCCAGAGTATGGAATATTTGGGTGTCAACCATCATGTGGGAATAATATGGGATACAACAAAACAATTAAACTTGGGTGATATATACTAATTTGTGACAGTTCATGACTTTGATATTCGACAACAATACCTGGAAAAAAATGTTTGCTCCCCAGTGTCAGCAACAATTAAAGCAGTGACCTCATTTTCTGATAACAAATCAAATTCTCTACCGTCCCCCTCTCTTTTGGCAAACAACTTTATTTGTCATTCAGTATATCCATTGCAGACCAAAATGTCTTTACTAAGATATTACTTGAATCTAACATCTCCTGCAATTGTTGAATAATTGATCATGCAAAGGATTTGAATCTGGATCTGTAGAGAAAAAATCTAACCTGATTTGGAGTTCATTGTCAGTGTCATAGATGTAGAGTTGAACAAACTTTCTTTTGTTCCTTTCAGTAGGTATCAGGCTGCCGATTCGATAATAGACTTGACGTCCAATCGAATAGATATATACTATGCATCGATCATTTATAGATTGATCCAGTTTACCTCCAATAGAAGTCAATGCGAAGACCCCGTTATATCCTCAAATATGTTCCAAAAGGCGACGTCAAGTTGAAGTATTTGTTTGCAATAGCATACTCAAAACCTTTG